CTCTACCACTTGAGCCACAGCGCCACTTCCGGCTTTTTTCTTTTTGCTTATGTGGTGCTGAGGAATCGAACCCAGGGCCTCATGCATGCAAGGCATGCACTCTACCGCTGAGCCACCTTCCCAGCCCCTCATGGAGTAGCTAGGATTATAGGCATGAGTCACTGCTGCCTGGCTCCTTGTCAAATTTTTTCTTCTGTGATGGGAGCTTTCAAACTTTATAACTGGAACTTGAGTCTCCTTTTATCAGTTTGCCACACAGGTAGGATGACAAGCATGTATCACTATGCCTAGATATTGGGTGAACAAGAATTCTCCAACTTGAGTCCTCCCTATTGCTGAGTCTGGATCATATATGACATACAGAATTATAAGTGTATGCCACTGGAGCCTGGCTGAAAATAACTAGTTATGTTTGGTGGCAAATGACTGCCCATGGCTATAATCCTGTTGGTCAGGAAGCTAAAACAGGAGCATCAAAATATTAGGTCATGCCAGGTACTGGTGGCTTCATGTTTGTAATCCTAGCTACTGGAACTAAGAATTATGGTTCAAAGCCAACCTCTGCAGGAAATCCCATGAGACTTGTATCTCCAATTAACCACTGAAAAACCTCAAGTAAAGCTGTGGTTCAAAATGTTAAAGTGCGAGCCCTAAGCAAGAGAATTCAGGGATACTGTCTAGGTCCTGAATTCCAGCTCCCCCCCCACACACAAAAAAATCCTTAATAATTTCTTCTAAACAGGACGAATTAAGATTTTTTTTGGGGGGGGGGTTGGCCATGGGGCTTGGACTCTGTGGGCTATCCTGGAGTTCATCAGCTCAAGGTGAGCACTCTGTCACTTGAGCCACAGCACCACTTCTGGTTTTCTGTTGATTAACTGGAGATAAAAGTCTCCAGGACTTTCCTGTTTGGGCTGGCTTTGAACCGTGATCCTCAGACCTCAGCCTCCTGAGTAGCTAGGAGCCACCGGTATTGCCCCTACCCTCATCCCCACCCCCAGCCTAGCTTGAACTCAGGTCTTCTTTGCTGTCCCTGATCTTCTGCTTTCAAGGCTAACACTAAATTACTTTAGTAGATACAGCCTGACTTCTGGTTTCCCTTAGGTAGTCAATTGGAGATTAATTAGTCTCATGGGCTAAGATTATAGGTATTCTTGAACTTTTTTTTTTTTTTTTGTCGGTTGTGGGGCCTGAACTCTGATCCTGGGTGCAGTCCCTCAGCTCTTCAGCTCAAGGCTAGCACTCTACCATTTGAGCCACAGTGCCACTTCTGGCTTTTTCTGCTTATGTGGTGCTGACAACCCAGGCCCTCATGCATGTAAGGCAAGCACTCTACCACTGAGCCACCTTCCCAGCCCATGCTTGAACTTTTGGCGCCCAGTTTAAACAAGGTAAGTTTTTACAGGAGTGAACTACCAAACCGCAAAAAAAAAAAAAAAAAGGTGTTGGGGGGGAAGAGTGACACATGATAACCAGTGGTTGCTCTTTTCCAGCAATAATATAAAGAGACAAGTCCTAAGGCACCAAGCATAATGACATCATTAATGCCCATTTCTGAGGCCCAAGGGGCTGTTACCCTATTCCATAACCCTGAGAACAGAAAACCAAAAAGACTTACTCTTTTTCTTTGACTGTCCTGGAGCTGGAGAGGACTGAGTAGCTGAAGTATTTGGCTGATCTTCCTCCTCTTTTATTTCACTTTTCAACTCGGTACCTCTCTCTTCTGGTTCTGAAGGTTCCACTTTACAGTCTTCTGGTTTGGCCTAAAACATAATGAATTTTCAGTATTATAAGACACCTTCATTTTATTTACTACAGACATACCTTATATTGAGCACCAAAACAAAACCATAGCAATTAACTCCTTTTTCTCACCTCTGGGATATCTTCAGGTGGAGCATCTGCTGATTGTGGTTGATCTACTTCCATTTTAACCTCTGTTTTTACTTCCTGTGAAGACTGCTTCTCAGGGATATTCTGAGAATTCACTTCAGTGCTACTAGTCGATGGAGGGTTTGAAACCTGTCCTTCAATGCTTATAGCAGGCTGGGAAAGCTGGGCAGAAAAAGGGCAAAGCACAAGAAAAGCTTGTCAAATTCTACAACCAGTCTTTATACTACTCAGGATCAAACACTTCTTTTTAGATAATCCTATGGTGCTTACTCTTTGCTTGTTTTAAGAGAGTAAGATTTGACTATTCTGGTTGGCAGGTGATATATGAAATAGCCAGCAAAGCAAAACAGCCAGCAAAGCCGGGTGCCAGTGGCTCATGCCTGTAATCCTAGCTACTCAGGAGGCCGAGATCTGAGGATCACAGTTCAAAGGCATCTAGGGCAGGAAAGTCCGTGAGACTCTTATTTATCTCCAATAAACCACTAGAAAACTGGAAGTGGTACTATGGCTCAAGTGGTAGAGTGCTTGCCTTGAGCTGAAGAGCTGAGCCCCACGACCAACCAAAAAAAAAAAAAAAAAACGCCAACAAGTATCTCTCTGATAAGCATCCATTCTCTGGCAAGCATGTGAGTGGAGATAAGTTCCTAAGAGGACTGCTTCAGGAGAGCAATTATGAAGAGGACAAAGGAAAGTATTATCATTTGGTTTACACTTCTTATTAAAGAAGTTTCAGATGATTTTTATTTTTATGAGGATGATACTAGGGATTGATTGAACTTGGGGAATGCCTCCACCACAGAGAAAAAAAAATTTTTTTAGTCGGTCGTGGGGCTTAAACTCTGGGCCTGGGCACTGTCCCTGTGTTCTTTAGCTCAAGGTGCTCTTCAGCTCAAGGCAAGTACTCTACTGCTTGAGCCACAGCGCCACTTCCCATTTCCTAGTAGTTTATTGGAGATGAGAGTTTCACAGACTTTCTTGCCGGGCTGGCTTTGAACCGAGATCCTCAGATCTCAGCCTACTGAGTAGCTAGGATTACAGTCATGAGCCACCCGCCCCTGGCCACGGAGAAAATTTAAAAGCCAAACATGGCAAGAAAAGCCATGAGATTATCTCTAAATACTGAAAAAACCAGAAGTAGAGCTGTGGTTCAAGTGGAAGAAGACAGAGCCCAGGCAGTGCCTAGGCACAAATTTAAGCCCTAGCACTGGTACCCATCTCTTTCCCAAATGGACCCTGATTGCCTTCAGGCCTCAGAATTCAACATGAAACCTCAAAAGGCCAAACAAAATCATTGGAAAATCAGGAAAATAACTAAGATTCATTCTATTTACCAAACAAGAACCAAAGATTTAAAAAAGAAATGGTTTAGAAAAAACAAAGGTCTAGTAGCATGAAGTCGTTCTTCATAAAGTTCAGTCTCTCCCCAATATCTGCTCACCGGAGTTGCAGGCTGAGGAGGCAGCAAGGGCGCAGTTGGGGTAGGAACAGAGGCTGCTATACTCTGCTGTGACCGAGGCTGCTGCTGGGGTTGGTCAGCTGAAGGAGCAGCAGGAAGCGAAGGCTGCACTTGAGGAGGAAGCTGTGTTGGTGGTGTAGGTGTCTGCCTGGACGGGGGATGTAGAGCTTGGGACTGAGGCCCAGGTGGCAAAGTAGGAGGTGTAGGAACAGGTGCTGGAATTGCTGTTGCTGGAGGCTGCTGAGCCCCTATGCTTGGAGGAGTGTGATGAGGAGTAGGGGTACGACTAGGTACAGGAGAGGGTGAATTCTGATGCAGAGCTTGTTGAGGGAGAGGGGGACAGTGAATGTGGCTCCCTTGAGACCCTGGAGGCATTATAGGAGAATTCACTGGGCAGGAAGAACTGGACATTTGTGCCTGTTAAGATGAAAAGCAAAAGTTATTTCCATAGGCAGGTTGTAAGCATTTAAAGAAACAAAGTTAGCACCCCCAAATGCTATTACTGGGAGAGGGATAAGTGCTTATTTTTGAACAATACAACTGATAACTGTACTTAACTAAGAGATTGCAAAATATTCAGCAGAATGGCCTCAGCATTGTAGGGGTATGGGAGACAGTGCACACAGTGCCCTGGGACCCTCCTATGCCCTCTTCAGCCAGAGTTCCTCCTCCTACATTGCAGTTCTCACTAAGATTTTATTTTTTTAAAGTGTTCACTCCTAAAAAAAAACAGTGGAAACCACCAATTTAAATTAATTCCTAGTTTGTCACACTACTACTTCTATGTAACAGAATAACCGCTTTATTTTCAGAACATTATATTCTAAGGTTGTTATTTAACACACACACACACACACACGCCCCCCCCCATTTTATTTCCAAGTTTGTGGCCAGCCTAGGATAGGGAGGTTCTCAAGACAAAAGACAAAAATAAAATGAACAAAAAAACTCATGTTTTCACACACTATTGGTTGCCACCCTTCCCTTGTAAACTTAGGGAAGATTTCAAGAATAAAAAATAAGTAAAAAGTACATTTATGAGACATACTTGAGAAACTGGTGCTTGACCATTGGAAGGAGCCAAAGGCATATTTGTTACATTCATGCCCTGTGGTGGGAACTGAGTCTGGGAGAGGAATTGGCTCTGGCTGGAAGGCTGCTGCATTCGAGGCCCATAGCCCATAGGCTGTAAAAGAAATAGAGCATGAAACTGTTTCATTAGTTATTCTACTACAAGTGGAATCGTCAACTGCTCTGGCTCCCCTGTAGGGTTTTTGGAACAGAGGGAGACAAGTAAATAGTCAAAGGAGAGCAAGAATAGGAAGAGAAAGAACATAGTAGAATTATTTACTTTTTTTTTTTTTTTTGGGGGGGGGTAGGTCCTGGGACTTGAACTCTGGGCTTGGGCACTATCCCTCAGCTCTTCAGCTCAAGGCGAGTGTTCTACCACTTAAGCCACAGTGCCACCACTTCTGGTTTTCTGAATGATTTATTAGAGACAAGAATCTCACAGAATTCCCTGCCCAGGCTGGCTTTGAACCACTATCCTCACATCTCATCTCCTGAGTAGCCAGGATTATAGGCGTGAACCACTCATGCCCGGTCATGCCAAGGTCACAGAGACTAGCCTTCTTTCAAGAATGTACAAATGAGGCTGGGAATGTGGCTTGGTGGTAGAATGTTTGTCTAGCATGCATGAAGCCCTGGGTTGGATTCCTCAGTACCACATATAAATAAAATGCCGGAAGTGGCACTGTGGCTCAAGTGGTAGAGTGCTAGCCTTGGATTCAGGGACAGTGCCCAGGCCCTGAGTTAAAGCCCCAGGACTGGCAAAACAAAAACAAAAAACAAAACAACAGAACAAGAATGTACAAATGAACACTTCCTTGTTACATGAAGCTACTGGAATAGGTAAGAAAAAGGAATGCGAAGACATCAGCTCTTTGCTCTTGTTGGTGCTGTCAACACAATTCTAAGAATCCTTAGTGGTTAAAAAAGTCAAATACTCCAAGTTGTGGCTGAGAATCACAGAATTCAGAATCTGCAAATGTTGTTGCATTTATAATGGTATCATACTTTTTTCATTTTCAGTTCCATTATGTGACTTGACTCAGGAACCAGTTCTGTTCAAGTTTCTTGCACAAGGCCACTTGAGCCACAGCTCCACTTGTGCCTTTTGTTGGTAAACTGGAGATAAGAATAAAAAATTTTCCTACCTAAGCAGGCTTCAAACTACAATCCTCAGATCTAAGCCTTCTAAATAATCAGGCCAATGACTCAGCTTTTTTTTTGTAATTAGTGGTTGAGATAGGGTCTTGCAAAATTATTGTCAAACTGGCCTTGAACTGTGATACTCTTAAATCTCTGTCTCTCTTTTTTTTGGGGGGAGGGTCAGTCATGGGGCTTGAACTCTGGGCTTGGGCACTGTCCCTGTGTTCTTCTGCTCAAGGGGAGCACTCGACAGCTTGAGCCACAGCGCCACTTCTGTTTTTCTAGATAAGAGTTTCATGGACTTTCCTGTCTGGGCTGGCTTTGAACAACACTCCTCATATCTCAGCTTCTTGAGTAGCTAGTATTACAGGCGTGAGCCACTGGCGCCTGGCAATCTCTGCCTCTTGAGTGACTAGGGTTACAGACCTCATCCACTGAACCTAGACTGTTAGAAAAATTTTTTTTCTTTCTTTTTTTTTTTGGGCGGGGGTCCAGTCGTGGGGCCTGAACTCTGGGCCTGGGCACTGTCCCTCATCTCTTCAGCTCAAGGCTAGCACTCTACCACTTGAGCCACAGCGCCACTTCCGGCTTTTTTCTTTTTGCTTATGTGGTGCTGAGGAATTGAACCCAGGGCCTCAGGCATGCAAGGCAAGCGCTCTACCGCTGAGCCATCTTCCCACCCCTGTTAGAAAAATTTCTAAAAATCTATTACTAGGTAAGAGATCAACACAATTAATTTTAGTATCTGTTTCCTATTTATGTTATGTCATTCTCATTTGGAGACAGTACTGAGGATTGAATTGGGGAACATGATTGCCAGACAAGTTTTGTACTAGTGAGTCACATATCTTTTGTTTGTACTGTTTATATTGAGATAGGGTCTTAAGTTTTTGTCTGGATATGCATTTGTTCAGCATCTTCCCATTTTACACTTCCTGCCACAACATCTCCTGATCTCAGTTTCCCAAGTAGCCAGGATTACAGAGATGGGTCACTTGTACATATCTCGTAATTTAGAGTTTGGTGGTCCACTTCTTTAAATACTGTAGCTCTTCCCATCTCTGAAACTATATACTATTTCACTGTGTATTAAGGGACAAATACAACGTAAGTGCAATACAAGAACAAGGTTTCCCTGGGCAAAGATGGATCACCCTGTAATCCTATCTATTCAGGAGGCTGAGATCAGAGGATTAGTTTAAAGCAGTTAATTCCACTCAACTTCGAAAAAAGCCGGAAATGGAGCTATTACTCAAGTGGTAGAGATCTAACATTGAGACAAACATCTCAAGGACAAGGCCCAGGCCCTAAGTACACGCCCCAGTACAACCCCGCCCTCACAAAACACACACCAAGGTGCCATGGCTTAAAGTTATTTATAATAAGTTGAAATAGCCTGGCGCTGGTGGCCCATGCCTGTAATCCTAGCTACTCAGGAGGCTGAGATCTGAGGATCATGGTTTAAAGCCAGCCCGGGCAGGAGAGACCGTGAGACTCCTATCTCCAATAAACCACCAGAAAACTGCAAGTGGCGCTGTAGCTCAAGTGGTAGAGCGCTCGCCTTGAGCTGAAGAGCTGAGGGACAGCGCCCAGGCCCAGAGTTCAAGCCCCACAGCTGACAAAAAAAAAAGTAGAAATAGCCAGCACTGGTGGCTCAGGCCTATAATACTAATTATTCAGGAGGCTGAGATCTGAGGATCACAGTTCAAAGCCAGCCCGGAGAAGGAAAGTCCATGAGACTCTCATCTCCAATTAATCACCTGAAAACTGGAAGTGGTGCTGTGACTCAAGTGGTAGCCTTGAGCTGAAGAGCTCAGGGCCCAGAGTTCAAGCCCCATGACCAACAAAAGAGAGAGACAGAGAGAGAGAGACAGAGAGAGAGAGAGAGAAATATTTATAACTATCATGTAAAGTGAAAACAATACCCAAATGAGCAAAACTAACCGCATTGAGAGCACCAGGCTGAGCCATCTGTCCATGGTGCTGAAGAGGAGAAGTTTGTCGGGGTCCAATAGGAGGCTGGGGAATATTCATCTGGCTGAACTGATTCAAACCTGTGAGCACATATAAAATGTTGCATCTGCACATATTCATAGAACTGGAGAACCAATACAAAGCTTCCGAACTAAATTCTATATCCTGGCTAAGTGTTTAAACGGTATGCCTGATCTTTATCTGTTGTCAGCTAGTTCCTTTTCACCACTCAATATGCTATTTAATCCATCCTCCATTTCTCAGTGAGTTTCAATTCAAAGAGGTTCTAATTTCCAAAGGAGACAATATCTGCTGTTAGCCTAAAGCAGAATATGGAGAGGAAAGTATAGTTCTGAAATATACTAGGGAGTCTTCAAGTTGCCGATGAATCTCTTTCACCACTTACCAGGTTGTGGCGTTATCCGAGGCATCATCTGATTTGGCACACTACCACGGATCATATTTGGGTCAGGTAGAGGACCATCTGGAGGAAAGAAAGGGTTCAACAAAGATCTTTCATTAGTGGCCCATTACCAATACAACAAAAAGCCACAGATTATTAATATTAATAGTTTCAAGAATTCAGCGTAACCCAGAGCTTTCCCACTGCCAATCTAACAAAGATACCACTTTCTCATCCTGTGGCCCCATCTTGGCCTTGTTGCTATGGTAAGTTCAGAGAACTGGCCTCAGAGATAGGGACACCTACTGTATTTGAGGATGAGCAAGTATCACTATCTGCTGCCATATGTGTTTCACGGATAGGAAAAGGATGGTCAGTTATAGGTAGGACATAGTGGTGGCTCCATACCCCTACCAGAGGACTACTTGAGCAACACTAGTGTCCTGAATGATGGTACTTTACTACTTTAGTAGAAGCAAACTCTAGTTCTATGTAACTCACCTAAAAACAGAGGGGAGCCTATGGGCCTAGAGGAAAGGTGGCAAGAGGTAACACCATACTGAGGGGCCGGGGATAAGCAGGGGAAATAAGAGTTGGGGGTGAGGCCAGATGAGGGACCCATGAGGGCTAAGTATATGGCACCGAAACACTGGCATTGGAAGATGTGGTACATCTAGGGCTATCTGGTTTGGGTCCTTCTAGCAGCTGCCTGCCCAGTTATGTCTAATGCTTCCCCATCAGGCATCTTGTTGCCATAAACCTCTTGATCTGAGCATGCTCCCATGGTTGCAACTAGCAAAGGAGCTCTGGTGTGCCCTCTTCAGCACCTCTACTCAGCCAGCAAGGGATGATAAGTGCTGGTACCAAAGCCAAGGACCAGCTTTTAACCATTTAAGAAACTAAAGCTAGCAACTTCCTTGAACCACTGGTGCTGCTGGGGCACAGCTTCCAGCCACTGTCCCAATTTGCCTTAAAACTGAGAGATCTAGTCTTTGCATTTAGCTGAAGGTTTCAAACTGAAGAAGGCACACTGCGTGATTAAATAGCTCTTTAAATGATTTGCCTGATTAAGTAGCTCCTTAAAAATAGGCTGAGTATGGGGGCTGGGAAGGTGACTCATTGGTAGAGCTCTTGCCTTGCATGCCTGAGGCCCTGGGTTCGATTCCTCAGCACCACATAAGTAAAAAGAAAAAAAGCTGGAACTGGCGCTGTGGCTCAAGTGGTAGAGTGCTAGCCTTGAGCTGAATAGCTGAGGAACAGCACCCAGGCCCAGAGTTCAGGCCCCATGACTGGACCAAAAAAAAAAAAAAAAGGCTGAGTAAGTATGGATAAAAAGCCTGCATCATATGTAACTTAGGAGTTACATTCTCAAAAAACAAGCTCTGAACAATACCTGAACCTGGAAAAAGACAAAAACTGCATCAATGTTATAAGGAATTACTGAGTATATTTAAACACAACAATAGTTTTAAAACATCTGTTCTAGCCAGGCGCTGGTGGCTCACGCCTGTAATCCTAGCTACTCAGGAGGCTGAGATCTGAGGATCCTGGTTCAAAGCCAGCCCGGGCAGGAGAGACCGTGAGACTCCTATCTCCAATAAACCACCAGAAAACCGCAAGTGGCGCTGTAGCTCAAGTGGTAGAGCGCTTGCCTTGAGTTGAAGAGCTGAGGGACAGCGCCCAGGCCCAGAGTTCAAGCTCACGGCCGACCAAAAAAAAAAAAAATCTGTTCTATAAATATACTTATGTTCAAATATAATGTTTTTTGAGGTAGAGGAAAGTGCTTCTAGCAGGGTTGAACTCAGGGCCTCAAGCTAGTGCTTATTTTTTTTGCTCTAAGTTGGCATTCTACCACTCTAGCCACAGCTATACTTCCAACTCTTAGTGGTTAATTGGAGATAAGAGTCTGGCCTTTTTTTGTCCAGGTTGGCTCTGAAATGTGATCCTCGGATGATAAGTCTCCTTAGTAGCTATGTGACTGGTCACAGGGACAAATGCCTGCAAACCTACATACTCAAAAGGCAGAGACAGGGGGGACCACAGTTCAGGGCTAGTTTGACCAATTAGGTAGAATGGTGGTATGTGCCTGCCATCCAACTACATGAGAAGAACAGGAAGGACTGTGATCTAAGACTGGCTGAGGAGACAAACTTAAGATCCTAACTGAACAAAATAAAAGCGATATGGTGTGTAGCCAGCAGAGAGCTTGAATAATTGAGATCAATTTAGTTCTACGTGATAAGAAAAAGAACCAAGGATTATTTGCACATCCTGTAGGACATTCATTCCAACAAGGTATGGTGCATAGAAAAGAAACAACTTTTACAGTATCCTGAGAAGAGATACAACAAGATTTCTGTAGTAACCTAGCTCCTCCCTCACAAATGCTACATATTCAAGCTCCAGACACATTCACTGGTAAAATACTCTGCTTTAAGGAGAAAATAAGCACCATGTCAGGTAACACTCATATTTCAGCAAACATGATTTCAACCTTTCAGACAGAAAATATACACACTGTGTATAACTTTTCACATATTTAATCTTCTTCCATTCTTTTACTTTTTTTTTTAAAGCCTATTGTGAGGCTTGAAGTCACTTCCTAGGTGCTGTCCCTGAGCCTCTTTTTGTGCTGCTCAAGGCTAGTGCTCCACCACTTGAGCAACAGAGCCACTGGTTTTTTGTTGTTTTTTTGTCCGGTCGTGGGGCCTGAACTCTGGGCCTGGGCGCTGTCCCTCAGCTCTTCAGCTCAAGGCTAGCACTCTACCACTTGAGCGACAGTACCACTTCCGGTTTTCTGGTGATTAATCAGAGATAAGACTCTCAAAGACTTTCCTGCCCTGGCTAACTTTGAACCGTGATCCTCACATCTCAGCCTCTGGAGTAGCTAGGATTACAGGCAGGAGCCACAGCCACATTACTAGCCATGGACTGGTGGCTCTGGTTAATTGGAGATATGAGTCTCAAGGACTTTTCTGCCCTGGCTGGGTTTGAACTGTGATGCTCAGATCTCAGCCTCCTGAATAGCTAGGACAATAAGCGTGAGCCACTGGTGCCCAGCTTTATGCCAACTTTTAAAACTATTTCCACTAATATTCTGTATGCCTTATATTTTTTGTATGATTTTTGCATGCAAATTAAAGTAAGGAAGTAAGCTATTTTGGCAGATATAAACTTGTTCCATGGGCTGCGAAGGTGGCTCAGTGGTAAGGCGCTTGCCTTGCATGCATGAGGCCCTGGGTTCTATTCCTCAGCACCACACATAAGCAAAAAGAAAAAAGCCGGAAGTGGTGCTGTGGCTCAAGTGGTAGAGCACTAGCCTTGAGCTGAAGAGCTGAGGGACAGCGTCCAGGCCCAAAGTTCAGGCCCCACGACCAGACCAAAAATAACAAGAAACAAAAACAAAAAACAAACATTCCTAGAAATGGTTTTTGGTCTAGTCTATAGTGCTGGTGTCTCATGATTGTAATCGTAGCTACTCAGGAGGCTCAGATCACAGTTCAAAGCCAGCCTAGGCAGGAAAGTCCATGAGACTCTTATCTCCAATAAACTACCAGAAAACCAGAAGTAGTGCTGTGGCTCAAGTGGTAGAGCTCTTAACATGAGCTGAAGAGCTGAGGGACAGTGCCCAGGCCCAGAGTTCAAGCCCCATGACAGACCAAAAAATAAATTTTTCAACCCAATTCATGTAGCTCAAGTAGAGACCTCTGTTTCTATGTCCTGAGTTACTAATCACGGACAAATCACATACTAAGATAATTTCTTTAACACTAATGTTTTTTGCTTTTTCTGTTGTTTCTAGTACTGGGACTTGAATTCATGCCCTGTGTGCTCAAGACTGGCACTCTTAACACATTTGAGCCACAGAGCCATATCTCCACCGTGGTATTTTGTTGGTCTCACAAACTTTCCTATAGGGGCTGGTCTTAAACAACAATCCTCAGATCAGGCTCTTGAGGAACTAGGACTATAAGGATCAACCTTATTGGCACCAAGCTCCAACACTAATCTTGCCTTTCCCAATTCTAAAAATCTGTTTCCCCGAAAAGAGACACATTTTCTTTAACTACTTCTAGGGGTAGGAATGGGGTTGGAACTTGGTGATCTCACACTTACTAGGGAGATGTTCTACTACTTCAGCTCATGCCCTCCCCCTTTATTAGTTGATTTTGATACAATGAGCCTCCCAGTTGGGCCCCAGATACTAACAACTGCCTATTAAGACTTACTAGCCTAGCTGATATGAAAGGACACCCATCTATCATTGAGTAGTGTTCTCATAAATTTCTCTGCTCAGGTTGGCTTTGAACCATGATCTTCCCATTCTTAGTCTTCTAAACAGAATTATAGATGTGAACTAGCCTTGCATATGGATCTTCCCTTGCTCCTTAAAGCCTCCATGTATAGTACCGTTTCTGCCAGAAATGTTGCTCTTCCTAATTCTGCTTGCATCTTGGCACTAGAAACCAGTCGATGTCACTGGTGGCATTAAAGCTGCTGAAGGTCAGGGGCAACTAATATTCCGTACTTTAGGACCTCATAAAAGGAAGGTATATTTTCTAATTCCACTAACAACCCACTGGAAGTAGTGTCTCTGCTGACTCAGCTGACTCAGCTGGCAGGGGCAGGAAAGTCTGTGAGACTCTTATCTCCAACTGACCACCAATAAACTGGAAGTGGTGCTGTGGCTCAAGTGGTAGAGTGCTAGCTTGAGCTAAAGAGCTTGGGGATAGTGCCTAGGCCCAGAGTTAAAGCCCCACACTGACAAAAAAAAGGAATAGGAGTGTGACTAAAGCACTGGCCCTGAATTCAAGACCCAGCATCACCCCCACCATCCCCAGACACACACGGGTGTATGGCTATTTAGATTTTGAAAATATGAAGCACAATGGGTCATAATAATAATCTCAGCACTTGAGAAACAAAAGCAGGATGAACCTAAATCACAACAGCCTGTCTTAAAATACAAAAAATTAAATGATAAAAAATTAGCTCATGATTATAAAACTAGCTACTCAGGAGGCTGACATCTGAGGATCACAGTTCAAAGCCAGCCCAGGCTCCAGCCTGGAGATGAAGAACTGAGGGACAGTGCCCATGCCCAGTTCAAGTTCCATGACAAAAAAGTAAATAAATAAATAAAACTAGATCTTTTAGGGACCCCTAAACCTAGATGGCCTACAATTATGAATTGCCTGCCTGTTATGAATTGTCATTTCCTGGTATCACAGTGACAGATATTGTGGGCACTAAAGATGTCAGATTATAAAGGCACACTAAATATCATATGCAGAAATCTTTTAATATACTTTTCTACTATCGTTTTACTAGGATGAAAGGCACTTACTGGAAGTCATTCCTGGTTGTGGCTGCCCCATGTTAGGGCCTGGATTCATGGAAACTGGTACCATGCTTGCATTTGGTAGCATACTTTGTTTCTGTAGTCTAGTCCTTCGTTTTTCTTCTAGTTCTTTCTGGATTTTATAGATCTTCTCAGCTAGAAGGTGGTAGTATTCTGCCTGTTTTTGGATTTTTGAAGTAAAATATGTTTTAAAAACAAAGATGATTGGATACTAATAATAAAGAACCAAAACCAAGTATTAGCTTCATTTAAAAGACAATGGAGAAGTATCAACTTATCCTTTGGTGACAGTTCAAACATGAGCTTGTTTGTAGTATGAGTCACAAATCTCATAGAATTTATACAATAAAGCACAACCTCTACAAGTATGTTTGCAGAATACACACAGTGTCCTATATTTCGAAGTAGGATGAATACAGAAAAGGAAGTTCAATTGCTGTTTTGAAAATAAACTTCAGGGTTGGGAAAGGTGGCTCAGTGGTAGAGTGCTTTTCTAGCATCAATGAGGCCTGGATTCGATTCCTCAGCACTATATAAGCAGAAAGAGCCGGAAGTGGTGCTGTCGCTCAAGTGGTAGAGGGCTAGACTTGAGTGGAAGAGATTGGGGGACAGCACCCAGGCCCAGAGTTCAAGCCCCACAACAAAAATAAATAAAACTTCAGATGAAAACATGAAGTAGTTGATTTACCATATTCTCGAGAAAAAAAGCACAGAGCAATAATAGCTCAGACACTTTTGAACTGATGGAAGGACAATCAAGATAACATGCCATATGCAAGGCAGTATATTAAAAGGAAAAATATGATATTTGGTGATGTTCACTTAGAAAATTGCTTCATCTTGCTTGTGGCTTGGTAAAAGTTGAGCTAACAGCAGAAGTGAGTTCTTCTAAGTGTTGCATGCAATAATGTAGATGGAGGACAAACTAACCAGGAAAAACCCAGTTTTATAAATAGAAAGAAAAGCCACATGCTTACTCTATTATTTGCAGATTCATACATGTCTCCTTCTACTTTCCGAGCATATGCAACCAGGTTTTCCATTCGTCTGTCTTTTAAAGCAGCAGGATCCGGAGTGGGAAATATGGCTTGAACACTAGGAATAGAAAATTCCACCACTGAAGTAACTTGTCAGATTTTCATTCATTTCATAGAAATGCACAATTTTTTTTTGGGGGGGGGTCCAGTCATGGGCCTGAACTCTGGGCCAGGGCAGCTCTACAGCTCAAGGCTAGCGCTCTACCACTTGAGCCACAGCGCTACTTCCGGCTTTATTCTTTTTGCTTATGTGGTGCTAAGGAATCGAACCCAGGGCCTCATGCATGCAAGGCAAATGCTCTACCACTGAGCCACCTTCCCAGCCCAGAAATGCACAATATTTTAAGTGTTTTCCTAGTTAGTTTTTTTTCCATTTCAATATACTGAATATGTTGAGCTTTTAAAAAATGAAAAGGTAAAAGTAAATAGGGAAGGTGGCTCAGTCGTAGAGTGCTTGCCTACCATGCATGAGACCCTGGGTTGGATTCCTCAGCACCACATAAACAGAAAAAGCCGAAGTGGCATTGTGGCTCAAGTGGTAGAGCACTAGCCCTGAGTTGAAGAGCTGAGCGACAGTGCCCAGGCCCAGAGTTCAAGCCCCACAACCGACAAAAAAAAAAAAAAAAAAAGGAATAGGAGTGTGACTAAAGAGGTATAGTGCGGGCTGGGAAGTTGGCTCAGTGGAAGAGCGCTTGCCTTGCATGCCTGAGGCCCTGGGTTCGATTCCTCAGCACCACATAAGCAAAAAGAAAAAAGCCGGAAGTGGCTCTGTGGCTCAAGTGGTAGAGCTCTAGCCTTGAGCTGAAGAGGGACAGTGCCCAGGCCCAGAGTTCGGGCCCCACGACCAGACCCAAAAAAAAGAAAAAGAAAGTATAAGACGTATAGTGCCTACATTCAATCTCAAATACCACAACCACAAAACAAAGTAAAGCAAAACAGAACAAAAGAACCTTTTACCTGTCAAAGATCATTTATAGAGCTACCATTTTAGAATACCTAAGTGGAACTAAGGAATAGTAGGTGAAATGGAAAGGTACTTCCTCCAAGAATAAATGTTCCATGTTCTTTGTAGGATTTGCTCTTATTTATCATGGTCTAGGCTCTGCATTTATTATATATTGCAGCACATTATATTTTATCAGTTCATATCTACCCTTGGACTGCCACTCTACAGGCAAGAACTTTTTCAAATTCGAGTTTTTGACCACTAGCATATTATCAATTGCACAACCAAGAGTATAGATCTTCATTAACCAAAGAACAGATCTACTAACAAGATTCAAATTGTTAATACAATATAAAAGCTTTACAGGGGCTGGGAAGGTGGCTCAGTGGTAGAGCACTTGCCTTGCATACATGAGGCCCTGGGTTCGATTCCTCAGCGCCACATAAGCAAAAAGAAAAAAGCCAGAAGTGGTGTTGTGGCTCAAGTGGTAGAGCGCTAAGATTGAGCTGAAGAGCTGAGGGACAGCATCCAGACCCAGAGTTCAGGCCCCACGACTGGACCCCCTCCCCCGCAAAAAACAGCTTTATAACAAAAACAAACAAAAAATAGATATTCCTGCTATCACATGTTAAAGAACTAAAGCTAAGGTTTTTGGTTGTTGTTTTTTTTGGTAGTGGGGCTTGAACTCTGGGTCCTGGGCACTGTCCCTTAGCTCTTCAGCTCAAGGCAAGCACTTTACCAATTGAGCCTCAGCGCCACTTTTTGTTTTCTGGTGATTTATTGGATGGAGCTGGGAAGGTGGCTCAGTGGTAGAGTGCTTGCCTTGCATGTATGAGGCACTGTGTTTGATTCCTCATCACCACTTAAGCAGAAAAGGCTGGAAGTGGCACTGTGGCTCACGGACTTTACTGCCGAGACTGGCAGATCTCAGCATCCTAAGTATCTAGGATTCCAGGTGTGAGCTACCAGGGCCTGGATTACTCTTTCTTTTCTTTTCCCTTCCTTCCTTCCTTTCTTTTTCTTTTCTTTTCTTTCGGGGGCCAGTCATGGAGCCTGAACTCTGGGCATGGGTGTTGTCCCTCAGCTCTTCAGCTCAAAGCTAGCGCTCTGCCACTTGAGCCACAGCGCCACTTCCGGCTTTTTTCTTTTTGCTTATGTGGTGCTGAGGAATCGAATCCAGGGCCTCATGCATGCAAGGTAAGTACTCTACCATGGAGCAATCTTCCCAGCCCCCCTAGCTTTTCTTTTCTTTTGGAACTAAGGTTGAATTTGTACTTGCTGGGCTGGCATTCACTTGAGTTACTCCCAGCCAGCATTTTGATCTCAGATTTTTTTTTTTTGCCTTATCTACCCAGGCTGGTTTCAAACCTCAGTCCTGTAAGTCTCAGCCTCCTAAGTAGATAAGAACTGTTATTATGTGCCACTGGTGCACAGTTCTTTAGTTTTCCTTACAAAATATAAATGATGTCTGTCATTGACATAAAAATTTAATTTTTGACACTAATCAGAATTCAGTATTAAAACTGGACTCCTACAAATGTGAGAAAGATAAAATGGGCAATAATAAAAAAAAGCAGGAAGTGGACACGTGGTTCAAAGTGGTAGAATACTATAGCCTTGAGCAAGAGAGCTTAGGGATAGCACCCAGGTCCTGAGTTCAAGCCCTACAACTGATAGAAATAACCAAGACCAGTACTATCAATAGTAATAGTAATATTCCTTTGAGTAAATGCAGATTGGAAACATAAAGATATAGTAACTCAGGGGCTGGGAAGGTGGCTCAGTGGTAGCGCGCTTGCCTTGCATGCCTGAGGCCCTGGGTTCGATTCCTCAGCACCATATAAGCAAAAAGAAAAAAAAAGCCGGAAGTGGTGCTGTGGCTCAAGTGGTAGAGCGCTAGCCTTCAGCTGAAGAGCTGAGGGACAGCGCCCAGGCCCAGAGTTCAGGCCCCAC